ATCTGCACAGAATATTTTTGGTGTGACAAAACAAAAGCATTTTATTCGTACATCTTATGTTCTAGAACCCCGAGGCGTAAAAACTGAACAACGTGCTAGTGTTTATATAATTTAAAAACTTTTTTATGAGAATTGATAACATTACTTTCCCTTTTTCTTATTTTCTTACTACTCCAGTCGTCAGAGACGTAAATGCAGCTAAACCTCTAAAAATCATACGAACAAGCTGAGTTTGGCCGAACATATCAATTTTAGAACGCTAAAAAGATGCAAGAAAGTTTACCACTTTTCCTCCAAGCTTTCCCCTAAAAACTTCCACGTAGAGGGGAGAAAACAGAAAACAGTCGATTTACTAGGAATCTGTACGTCATAGAAAAAAATGTTTTTAGCCAAAAATGTAGCTAAGATAATTTTGAACAAAAACGTTTATTAGCATTTTTTATGTAGAATGAATCGTTCTCTCATAAAGAACGATTGAAGCGATCGGCGATTTTGAATGTCAGTTACGCGCCAAATCAGTGGTCAATAAATTTTATATCAGCGCGACGGTAAATATCTTTTTATCCGAGTGTCCTGTCGACAAAAATCAAGATGAGTTTTAAAGATGAATATGCAATATCTTATGCAATAAACTGCCGAAAGTTTACCGAATATAAACTCAGTTTTTTAGAAAGGTTTAGAAAGGAAAAGAAATAAATAAATGTGACTTAATTTCTGTAATTTTCTCTCTTCACTCCTCATGTTTAATATGCTTTTGATTTTTGTCGATTTTACAGTCTGATCAAAAGATATCGATTATTTATTGTCCAGGTAACACAAATTTTATTTAACATTGATTTCGCGAAACACTACAATTGCCTCTGCCAGTTACAAAACCAGTTTGGTTCGGTAGCATCACTTTGCTGGCATACAAAATAAGTGTTATAGTTCGTTAATTTCTCCATATGTCTTTCGAATATTTTTGTAAATAGGGATATATATTGATTTAGTCTAGTCCTCAGACCAGTTACAATTTATCCAGATTAGAAAACATATTTCACGAAAAATATCAGTTCCTGCATCTGCGATCGCCATAACTTTTCCGTGACAATGTTCTCTGCTTTAAGTGATTTGTAAGTTTTCAACTTTTTTTGGTACAGGAGCCGCTCCTCGATTTTTTGCTATAATTTTGATAATATTGTTTTTAATGTCTTGGTCCTTCAGCAATGCCTAAGATATGTCTCTGGGCTCAGGCTTGTAACATTTTGAGAGATGGTAAAACAACCGTTATTGTTTAGTGCCTATTGATATCTACTGGGAGACGGACGATGAGGAAAAAACTCTACACGAGACACTTTGCTACGTAAATTTGTTAAGTAAACGATTTATCACAAAAAGCTGATTAAAGAGAAAAATAGGTAAGATTTTAAGTAACATTTCTAAGAATACCTAATATTAACAATTGTTATTATATTTAACATACTTTTTTATTTATTAATTTGTTGTTTTATGGATATGTTATTAAAAAATAATTGGCGCTTCCATGTTCTTGTGCGAGGTATTCGTTTTGAGGATCGTCAAACCAGACCAGAAAGGAGAGCTGTTGATAATTTAGCTGCTATTAGAGAACTATTTGAAAACTTTAAAAATAAATGTTCTTAATATTATACTCCAGAGTCATACATCATAATCGACGAGATGATGAAAGGTTTTCGTGGTAAGTGCCTTTTCGTCAATATATAACAAATAAACCTCAGAAGTATGGCATTAAAATCTACGCACTGGCTGATGCACCAACATTTTATGTCCACAGTGTGGAGATAGACGCCGGGAAACAACCAGAAGGCCCCTGCGTACTGCAAAATGATGCATCGAGAGTTGTTAAAAGATTAATAAAACCCATTGATAATTGGTCGAAATATTACAAGGGACACTTATTTTAGATCTGTTCCATTGGCAAATGATCTATTTGTGAACCACAGACTTACTGGTGCAAGCACAATAAGAAAAAAAAAGGGGATTGAAGATTGGAGATTGTCAGAATGAAAATCACTGCACTATAGTCTCGTACATCAAAAAAAAAAACCGTCCTTATATTACCAACGATACACGATGACGATTCATTTGATGTAAAGTATATAAAATATTTTGTACTCTATAGCTACTGTAAATGGATAAATAATTTATAGGAGTAATACTAACACCTTATAAGAAAAAAGAACTTTTATTTCAAACTTGGCAAAACAGTTGATAAAACCATATTTGAAAAAACGGTCTTCAATTTCAACTTTTTTCGTTGGCCTAAAGCAAAACAAGAGGGATATTTTGCAGATCAGGATCAATACAGTTTTACAACCGACAACTTCAAAGAACAAAATAAAGTGGTTATATTGCTCTGTTAAGAAAATAGATGCACACACACCACTCTTGCAGTTCTTGCACAAAAGCAGTATGCAACACACTGGAAAAACAACCTTGGTGTGCAGTGATTGCATTCTGATTCCTGAGACTGGTGCATCTGAATAAATAATAAATTATTGATGGATTCGACCGTTACTTGATGGAAATTCATTTTATGTAACAATAAAACACTGAAAACTTTGTTTTCAAACTTCCACAAAATTTATTTTAAATATTATCACTACAGCTGTTTCGGCTGATTGCCTTTCTCAAGTGATCTATTTTATCTTGGGTTTACAAATTTATAGTCTCTAATGAAATAGGTTGAGGAGGGGAGAACTGTTTGTCTCAAGTTGGTCATTCAGAATTATATCTGTGTTTTTTAATTTGTTGATTTCCATAGATTCTAACAAAGATAGCTTAAGGCCTTTATTTTGAATGTTAAGAATTTTAAATTCGTCATTAAAAGAATGATTATGATCTAGAAGGTGAAGTGCGTATGTCGAATCTGTTTTTCTATTCTTGAAAGCCCTTTTATGTTCTGCTATTCGTTTATCAAAGTTTCTACCAGTTTGACCGATGTAAGTTTTTGGGCAGTCGCCACATTGGAGTTTGTATACACCACTATTTAAGTGTTTTTTATTTTGGCTCTTGTTATTTTTAATATATTTGCCTAGGTTGTTATTTGTTCGGAAAGCTGGTGTTATTCCTTTCTTTTTTATGTGTTTGGCAATTTTTGTTGTTATTTTGCCTGTATATGTAATCGAGCAGAAGGTACTGGGTTTTTTTCTCTGGTGGTGAAAATACTAATTTTAGGGCTTTCTTGTGTAGTTTTTGATTTAACATTTTATTAATTGTTTGTTCGTTGTATCCGTTGTTTACTGCTATTTGTTTAATTATATTTAATTCTGTCTCAAAGTTGTCTTTTGACATCGGAATTTCTGTTAATCTATGTAACATACTATGATAAGCTGCCAGTTTATGTTGTGTTGGATGGGATGACGAATTGTGTATAGTCGTGTCAGTATGGGTAGGTTTATGAAATATGGAGAAGTCATGTTTGTTTTGAAGTCTGCTAATTTTTAAATCTAAAAAATTTATGGATTGATTTTGTTCTGTTTCTATTGTAAATTGAATATGACTATGAACTGAATTAATATATGATGAAAATTGGTCGAGTTGCCTGTTAGTTCCTGTGAAACATACCAGTACGTCGTCTACGTATCTCCACCAATATAAAAACTGATCAGGCAACTATTCAGGCAAGATTTCAAAACATCCCGTATTCAAACAGTTTTTATATTGGTGGAGATACGTAGACGACGTACTGGTATGTTTCACAGGAACTAACAGGCAACTCGACCAATTTTCATCATATATTAATTCAGTTCATAGTCATATTCAATTTACAATAGAAACAGAACAAAATCAATCCATAAATTTTTTAGATTTAAAAATTAGCAGACTTCAAAACAAACATGACTTCTCCATATTTCATAAACCTACCCATACTGACACGACTATACACAATTCGTCATCCCATCCAACACAACATAAACTGGCAGCTTATCATAGTATGTTACATAGATTAACAGAAATTCCGATGTCAAAAGACAACTTTGAGACAGAATTAAATATAATTAAACAAATAGCAGTAAACAACGGATACAACGAACAAACAATTAATAAAATGTTAAATCAAAAACTACACAAGAAAGCCCTGAAATTAGTATTTCCACCACCAGAGAAAAAACCCAGTACCTTCTGCTCGATTACATATACAGGCAAAATAACAACAAAAATTGCCAAACACATAAAAAAGAAAGGAATAACACCAGCTTTCCGAACAAATAACAACCTAGGCAAATATATTAAAAATAACAAGAGCCAAAATAAAAAACACTTAAATAGTGGTGTATACAAACTCCAATGTGGCGACTGCCCAAAAACTTACATCGGTCAAACTGGTAGAAACTTTGATAAACGAATAGCAGAACATAAAAGGGCTTTCAAGAATAGAAAAACAGATTCGACATACGCACTTCACCTTCTAGATCATAATCATTCTTTTAATGACAAATTTAAAATTCTTCACATTCAAAATAAAGGCCTTAAGCTATCTTTGTTAGAATCTATGGAAATCAACAAATTAAAAAACACAGATATAATTCTGAATAACCAACTTGAGACAAACAGTTCTCCCCTCCTCAACCTATTTCATTAGAGACTATAAATTTGTAAACCCAAGATAATATAGATCACTTGAGAAAGGCAATCAGCCGAAACAGCTGTAGTGATAATATTTAAAATAAATTTTGTGGAAGTTTGAAAACAAAGTTTTCAGTGTTTTATTGTTAAATAATAAATTTGTAAAGTCGAAATTACTGCTTAATATAATATTTGTATTTGCGGTCTTGACATAGCAAATCGTAGAGTTTTTTGCTGATCTTCGAGAATACTTGATACTCTCTCTTTAGCTTCCTTACTATCTCCTGTTTCAGTTAATATCTCTAGCATAGAAAGGTCTCCACCTCGGCTACACACCAAATCTATCGGATCTAAAACAGCAGAGTAACTATTTGGTGGTGTGGCGAAAACAGCAACTACTTCTTCCATATAATTTACACAGCGGGCGTATCAATCAGTCTATCAGAAAATAACCTAGTATTTGACATTCCTAATTCGTTAAAATAAGATTCATACTCATATTTCCTTTTGCCTGCGCTAAATGCTAGAAGTTTTTTTATCTTTTCATTTTGCGCTAATATAGTGGCCAAGTACGCTGTAGTCCGAGGTGAATTAATATGCGTTTGTATCACACTTCCTGTAAGTTCTAGATCGCTTACTAATTTCTTAAACGTGGCTGGACCCAAACAAAAAGATTTATCCTGAACAACAAACATGTGATTCTTGACAAAGTAACTTTGAGCTAACTGAGTTCTCATAAAAGCATGAAAGACTATAATTTGTGGGCAGTGCCTGTCCCATTCAAAAGTATGTTTATCTAATCTTGTGACGTCCGAAACCATTTTTAAAGAAAAAGTTTTTTCGATATCATCGCACAACGATTGGTTGTCTTTTATTTTGCAGATATTTATCCAACAGGTTACAGGATTATGCTGGTCTTGCTCCGCCACTTTTTCATCTCTCAGATGTAGAGGTAATCACTCACTGAGAGATAATGCGTTGTTCTTGATTCTCAACCGTGCAACAGCTGCTGCCAATTTTATTTTCTGGGTCCAAAGTGCTAATATAATATTGTTTACTATTGGCTTAAAGTTAGAAAATGTTGTTATGCATTCCGCAAAAATGAAATTCGAAAAAATAAATTTGAGCTCCACCCTAATGTCTAATAACTCGCAGTGTACAATAACTCGCAGTGTCCAATAACTGGGATTTTTACCCTACGTAGTTAGGTATTGATTTTATTTATGATCATAAAACACACCATTAAATTTTCTGTGGTATTGAGTTTATTTTTTATAATAAGCAGCTACCATTGTGCTACCGTCATATTTATCATAAAAAATACAAGCAGCAATTCCTAGTAAGATTTTAACGTGTTTATTAGCAAACTACGGAAATTTGATTCATTTGTTCCTCAGAATATGATGAATGAAGACGTAAACAATGTGTTGAAATAGTGATAACACCACATAATTTTAATTTTAATTTTGACAACTATAAAGCAATAATATTATATAGAAAAACCGCATGGTTCGAGTAAGATTTATGACATACATAGGAATAAAAAATATAATAATAAAATAATTTTTCTAAAACAAATATGACGTACTTTGTTCGAACAAAAGTAATTGTATCCATTTCACCAGAAAACGCAATGTTAGTAGCCCAGAACAATCTTTAATACCAAAAATAGAATATGTTGATTGTATCAAATTCCTTGGAATTAATTTTGACAAACATTTAAATTTTATGCAACATATTTATCATCTGAAATCGTAGGCTTCCACGGTCAGAGTCAGAATTATAGTTTATTCGTCTTCCGGGTTTGGACCGTGTCATTTGTGAGTGACCCAAAAGTGGGTTCATCTCGACGTTTCGCTACAATTGTATGTAGCTTCTTCAGGAGAACAAAGAAAAAGAAAAAGGATTCACTCCCCGCCTCTCGACGCGTTAGTGTTCTGAGCTGTTGGACGTGAATCCCTGTCCTGGCATTTGGTTTTCACCTCTGGCTGCGTTGAGTAGTTGAGTTACTGTGACCAAATGCCCATCTTGGTAGTTAGTATTCGCCTCTGGTTGCGTTGAGTAACTGAGTTACCGTTGCTAACTACCCATCTTCCTGTTCTTTTGTTTTCTTTTTTCTTTTTCTTTGTTCTCCTGAAGAAGCTACATACAATTGTAGCGAAACGTCGAGATGAACCCACTTTTGGGTCACTCACAAATGACACGGTCCAAACCCGGAAGACGAATAAACTATAATATTTATCATCTTCAAACATCTTGTTAACAATATTTGAACATAATGAAAGTCTTCTAAAAATTAAGGATGTGATCAAGATATCTTATTGACAGTATATAAAAGTCATATTTGATCTAAAACAATTGAGCAAACAAAAGAGTTGCAAACAATCCAAAATGCTGCTGTAAGAATAGCCCTAGGAGCTTTTTGTGCCACACCTATATATAGCTTACTATGTTTAGTAGGAGAAATGCCTCTGGAATTAAGAAGACAATATCTTAGCCTAGCCTATGCTGCAAACGTTTCGGCAAATAGTGAGAATCCCGTCAGAAACAATGTCTTTGCTTCTCGTTTCCAAACAAGATATCTTATCACAAAAAGATCTAAACCCCCTTTTTATAAAAGACTTAATAAATACTTGACCAGCAATAAACATATACCAAACCACCCTATTAACCGCTCTACCTTGGATGGTCAGAAAACCCTTCCTAGACTTAAGTTTAACAAAGACTAGTAATCAACTTAATGTTTCCTCTATGGTTAAACAATTTTACAGTAAGATTGATGAGTACCAGAATTACCAACATATTTATACTGATGCCTCTAAATCAGAAAAAGGAGTGGGATGTGCTGTCATACACAAAGACTACACTGCTTCATACAAAATCTCAAATTTTAGCACGGTATATACTTAAAAAAAACTATTTGCAATCTACAAAGCATTAGAATATGCACTGAACGCCCACTTAGACAGGTGCCTAATAATAACAAATTCCTTATGTTCCATGAGTAGCTTAGGCACCACTTACCTAACTCATTCATTGTTGCGATTGATAAAGAATCATTTTACCAACTTCAGCAAAAGAATGCGATTGTGAAATTTATGTGGATTCCATCATATATAGGTATACATGGTAATGAAAGAGTAGATGCTGCCGCCAAATCTTCAGTTAACAACGAAGACTTGATAAAACCTACCTACAAGAAATATTTTTATCACTGGATTAACTCGACATTGAAAGAACGGTGGATTTGAGAATGGAATCAATCTTAACAAAAACTACGAGACATAAAAACAACGGTTACAAGATGGAAGAATATGTGTAGCAACACGAAAAACCAAATTATAAAAAACAGACTGAGATTAGGACATATACGCTTAATACATGAATACCATATTACTGAAAGTGTTCATCCAATGTGTGGTAAGTGTTTTAACAGTTTAAGTGTCCAAAATTTCTTAATAGAATGCCCTGCATATTCAAATGAGAGGAAAAAGTGTAACCTGCCGACAACGCTACTACTTTAAAACTCTTTTTAAAGATAAATCACACAAGAATATACAACAGAGTGAAACAGGCATTAGCCACACATAGTTCGGTTTCAGACAAGGATTTGGAGATGAGAAGCAATTTATAGTTTAACTGTGCTACTTCAGAAATACAGAGATCAGCAAAAAGATGTCTTCCTATGATTTATAGATTGTCAGAAAGCGTTCGATTGTGTCAATCATTCAGAATTAGTAAGATTGCTCCAGGAACGTTCGATAGATGAGAATGACCTTAAAATCATAAAGAACCTTTATATGAATCAAGTGACATTTGTACGAGTAGGACAGGAATCTACATCATATTTCTTAATCGAAAAAGGTGTACGATAGGGTTTTGGTCTGTCAATCCTCTTTTTTAATCTTTGCTCTGGAACGATTTTCGATAGAGCCTTAAGTGACACTAAAGATGGAATCAAAATCAACGGACAGACTATTATTATTCTTCGTTATGCTGATGATACAGTCATAATAGCTGATAACCAAGAAGCGCCCCAAAGACTAATAGATAGAATAAACACTGAAGGAGAACGACTGGGCTTGAAGAATAATATAAACAAGACAAAGGTACTGGTGGTTAGTAGAACACGAAATATGCAATTAAATATACGAGTTAACAATAAGAATATTCAAAAGGTCTCCAAGTTGAGATATCTCGGTAGTTGGATAACTGAAATCTAGATCCAGACATAGAGATACGTAGCAGGATTGAGCAAGCTAGAACAGCATTTACTAATATGAGAACCTTTCTCAGCAATAGCGGCCTCAACTTAATGCTTCGATATAGATTTTTAAAATGTTACATTTACTCCATACTCCTATATGGTGTAGACACCTGGTGTAACGAGAACGTTACTTTAATATTTCGTAAACATTTTTTGAATAAATTTTAAAATTCCAATTCTCTTAATGATTTTCTAAATTCTTAAAATTTAAGTTGGTATTAAATAACGCCACCTACTGCGCTGTAAGGGACATGACTATCGGTCTAATAATTAGAGCTCATTCTGGTTTTAACTTTTTGGTAAACAACTTCGTTTAACAGGGAAAAAAGCGTAGGCGATAGAGCGAGGCTAAATTTGTTTTAAAGAATATAAATTTTGTTGGAGAAGGAAAGTATGGAGTTTTTCAGTTGTTTTATAGTGTAGAATCGTTGATTTAAAAAGCCACCTCTAGTCGGTAAGTTCTTTAAATTATAAATAAAAAGTGTAAAAACTATCAGCCATTTTATCTTCTATAATATCGTCACTTTTTCTTCGATAGTGTAATATCTATCTATCATTTCTCACATTATTTCCTTAAGAAACATTCTGGATTTATACATAATAATGTTATAAAATCATATCAATTTTCTATTTTATTTCCCAGCCTTAAAAACATATAATTATCCATCGTTAAATTATCTATTATCTATTAAGACCACCTGTAAAAATATTCTGCCTTACTGTCCTTTTATATTCAAAAATATATCCGTGTATCAAAAATATTTCCTTAAAATTATCGATTTCATCAATTTATTTTACATCAAATAGTGTCAGACCATGCGAAGGTCACATTAGCTACAAAATCATTACAGCTTTTTTCTTTGATACAAGGTTCCCAGCAACTTTTTGTCATATTTTTCCCCACTTTTTATTAAGTGTAAGGAGGAATAGTAACTCAATTGTTCTTTTTAGCCTACCCCCAAGAAGTTAAATCCGGAATCAAGAATTTTTCTTTTAGTTAATTTTGTTGGGGAATTAAATTACTACACCCGGAAAAGAAATAACGTTTTGATTTTGCCCATTTGCCGTCTGTTTCATCAGGGGTCCAGAGCTCTCCCGACTACTTTTGGACCAATTCCGGATACCAGCCAAAAGACCTCCCTTATTTAGAGGGTGGAACCTTGTTAATTTTTATATTGTTTATTCATTAATTTAATAATTTTGTTCATAATATTTTTTCTTTCAATCATAAATTTTAATATTTCACTTAATAATAAAGACTTGTCATTTTTTCTAAATAACCATAAATTACATAAGCATTAATTTTTTTACGTTCAGGTTGAGGTTCTAAATCCTTCCTTGTAACTCGGTTGTACGATTTTTTGTGTACACATTTCATCAGAGAGTTATTTTATCATTATATATTTAAACGTTTGGACACTTATCTCGTCAAGATAGTGTCCTTATTACTTGTTACTATTATATTCAATAAAGCCAGAATACAGAGTTGCATCTCTGGGGCAAATAAATTACCTTTTTAGGTCAATTATTACCATTGTTTTTTCTATATTTTAT